TCGATCGTTATAATGTTCTGCATACTTATGGTTACCTTAAGTTTTTTATTTCTGTAACGTTTTTTCGATTCATGATTCGTTTCTGTGCATTTTACGTTTTCGCATATTGGACTTAATTGGACTTAATAAAATAATCTGAAATCTCTTTTTCATATGCATATCTTAAATGCTAAAATAAGTTTCTTAGCAAATGTATTCACTTTCATGCAATACTGGTTGCCTTGCTTGTTCTTGTTTGTATTGGGCTTATCATTTGTGTATCTCTTTCTGATTAGATGATGACAGCGTCCTTACTTGCGCTTTTGCCGGTAGTCAGCCGACTATTCTGCATCTGTTTACACGTCTCCCTCTATCGCCTTCGCAGGCGATGGAGTTTACGTGCCTCCTGGGTATGGCATTGGCCACGGTATCATATTCGTTCACTTGCTGCCGTGATGCTCTAGTATTCCTTGGCTTGTGGTACCTGTATTTTTCCTGTCTTCAGGTAGTTGACTTTACAGAATTAGTAATTGATTGTTGAGTTCATTATAAATCGTACTATTCTAGGTCGGTCAGATTTTTTTGTGGTACCAATGGTAAACGACTGGCTGTGCACTGATTAATTAGCTAGTTTCTATGTCTCTAGGGACACTCTCCTTTTAGAAGCTGGCTTTCTTATGTTTCTTGTTGCACCGTGTCGTTTTATTCGTGGAAAAGCTTCCAGTTGGCTGCCTCACGACAACGTTACATTGTTTCTTCTACGTTGGTTAACCTTTCGTCTGATGTTTGCATCCGGTGTTGTGAAGCTGACCAGCGGCTGCCCGACGTGGTGGCAACTTACGGGTATATTGCTAGAACAGGCTTCTACATTTCTGTGTCCGCCTTTGTGTTTTTCTTTTTGTCAATTGTTTTTCTGCCTCCATTATATCAAGGTTAAATAATCAGTTGAGATATTAGTTGTCATACGATTGATAACATGCCGGGTAATACATTTGTTTATTAGAGTAATGATTTTAATGTAGAAGCTTACGTTCCCTTCTCTTTTTGACAGCCTCTCTTTGTTGTTCAGCTCAGTATTATAATTTTCGCTTCTCATGTACCACTGATGTGACTTGATGCCAGAAAGATAATGATAAAGAGTTTTGCCCTCAAGAATTTGGGATAAAAATTAATCTTCGGCTATTAATGCGATCAAATTAATATATTGTTTCATTTTTGTGTCCTTATTTTACGGCCAGTCGAGGCAATTGATTCAACAGCTTATTTATCCTTATATTTCTAGCGCTGCATTACCATTTTGAAAGTCAGTGTATTCCAACGCCGCTCGCCTGGTTCGCACATCAGATCCCTGGATGGTTTAAGCAGTTGTCTGTACTTGCAACATACATGATTCTGTTACTATTGTCTCCATTCATGCTGCTTCCCGTCAAGCACCTGCGGTGGTTAGCCTTCCTCGGACAGGTGATATCTTTTGAGAAATTTGTCCTTCGGAAAGTTTGAGAGTTAAAACTTTACTGCTGTTTCAGTGTCGTCTAAAAATTTTGCTTTACAACATAATTTGATATAAAAGTAACACAGAGAGAAATAAAAAGATTATCAAAGCGACTGCTGCTGCTGCTTATATAACTGCAGTCCTATAACCTAGAGAGGGACCAGAATATTTTTATTTTGAAACTGTTGTGAAACTGCCAGATTCACGAAATTAGGCCTATCACTCAGTTTCAAATAATATTGCTAACTGCTTAAAATATGTCGCAGCGAATGAATTGTAACAGCTGTGGGTTCAGCGCAACCGTGATAATTTAATCTTATGACTTTCGACTTGCTGCGACTTTTCGGTATTTCTTTTCGTTATATCAGCGGTTTTCAACCCCGTGTTGCAAACTAAGCATTTCATATAATTAAGGTATCGCAGTGGACGATCTGTAGTATGCAGTTTTTTGAAATTTCACCTGAAAAATTCAAGTTTCAGACTTTGAACTGAAAAGTTTACTTACACGATGTAAATAGAATGCATGTTCATCGTCAGATGTCATCATCTATTCATGATTGATTCTCTTCATTTTTTTCTTATGGCGGCTAATTATCTACTACGGCATATATTTTTCAATAGTAAAGGTTCATGACCGGTATTGGGTTCCTGCAGTTGACATTTAAGGCTCGCTTCCCTCTACCTTTTCCTGCGAACCGTGTTTTATGAACAGACTAAGTTGCTGACTACGGCTGTTTCGTTCTCTGAATCCCTCGCTTTTCTTCTTTCTGAGTTTGATGAGTACCACCGTGCAGGAAGGAAACGGAAGATTCCACGCTGTGCTTGCCACATATTTATAGATTGTGCTTTTAATAAGGCATTCGTGACTGATTAGTGTTATGGAGACTGACATCCCTACGGTTTCCAATTTCCTTGTTTTTCTTTCTGAAAGTACGGTAAGCTGATCTACAATTTTTTAGAGACCATTTTCAGATTCATTCTTTACCGCTGTTTCATTTTCAAACCACATAGGGTTCTCTA